CTTTCTCTATTATTAATGATACATTTTGACTTGTGAGAATTGATTATGATATTTCAAATATCCTGTGTGCTSGTAGTGCAGTGACATGGTGATGCAGGGAAAAGCTGAAAGTTTTGCAAAGTAGGAGGGCTGACAGAATCATACATTCCTCTCTCCCACTGGCATTAAAAGATCCTTGCTTGGTGTTAAAAAGTCTGGCTACATTAGCACCTTGAGGAGATGTTTCCTCCCATACTGAGTTAAATGTGCCATTAGTTATCAAAAGGATTTTATGTTTTAATCTTGAAATGGTCTCAGAATAGAAGAACAYTTAGTGCTAGTAGAGAATAATGTAGAAGTCACTCTATACTGAATCTGAGTGGTTCCCAGTCCCACTTCCCCAACTTTTCTCTCACTACCATTACACATGATAGATGGAATGGGGCTCTACACATGGATATGGAGGCTTGAATGTGCAGAGCACATTCYGAAGCAGTAGGCATTGCCCCAAATGGCATTGCCCTCCTTCTCCAGAGGCAACTCCACTAGCAGCAACTGATTCCTACTATGCCACAGCTCCATTCTCTTTTCTTTCCTTGYATGCAGTCAGTGACTAGCTATGTAAGGAGTCACTTTGTGCATTGCATTAAGCATGGCCTCACTGCATTTATATGTTYGCCCTTTCTAGTTGCCATCCATTAATGTGTTCTTTATCCTACTCTGTAATTGACCTCCTGAAATTGGGGAAATGGGTTAYACTTTGACATGTTGGCATAGTTCATCCTGTGCAAGGTTGACACTTAGTCGGTTGAGGTCCTGTCAAAATCAAAGCAGCATCCAGGCATGTCTTTGTTTATTTTACTTTCCAAGAGAAAGASGAAAGAAAATAAAAGTAGGACTTGAGGGCAAAACTTGGATTTTTTGGTTTTTCGTAAGGAAATATTAGCATGGTAGTAAAAGATGAATAACCAGTCTCGGGGAACACAATCCTGGTTCATCTGTCAGGTTCAGCTCTGATGTCTCTTGTGGCAAACAAAACCCTGCAGGGCATTTCTGCTGACACCAAGCCATATTAGGACATATAAGGAACTACCTTAGTAGTTCTTTCACAGTCAAGCAGACACTAAGTTTACAGGTGATACAACATTGACACATGGCAGTAACTGGATTTTAAAGAACATAACTTGCTACATTGGTTTTATGTGTTTAACAATCATCTTCTCTTCAGTGCATTTGCAAAATTTAAAATATCAAAAAAAAAAAGTTAATGAGTAATCACTTTTATAGGAATGAACCTCCGTCATTCACTCTTTATCTTTGAAGAGGTAATACAGCTTAATTGATACTGCTGCCTAAATCCCTTCCACAGAATCATGAAAATAGCTGAAGTTCCCTTGACCTCCTAGCTAAGTTCCCTCCAGTAAAGCCCTGCTCTGCTCTGTTGGTGCACTGCTCCTTGTCTCTCTCCCAAACACTCAGGCATTCCAGGTCTTGGGGCRACCTCTACGCAGCCCTGTGGGCACTGCAGGCCTGCTTGAATGCCCTGGCACGTGGACCAGGAGGGCAAGGCATTGAGCAGAAGCAACTGCAGTTGCCATTGTACAGAAGCATCAGTGGGGCACAAGGAAGACTGTGAGGTGTGTTTTCAGAGCCTTGCACTGATGTCTGTGGTTTTCTGTGGGCAGGCGACCGTGCTGATGGAGTTCCTTATTGAGATCTGCACAGCCATATGTGGGGAGGACAAGGCYGTGGCTGGCAGCCCTTTGGCTCAGGAGTCCCTGTGAATCCCTAAGAGCAGCACTTGCTTCCTGCCACACTTTCCACAAGTCCCGGATAACACTACTCCCTCACCGAAAGGCATCCCAGATGTTAAAACATCTGCACACCTCTGTTCCTCAGAGCATTGCTCATCATGGACTACAGCTGCGCTCTCCCCATGCAGCATGCTGCCCCTGGGGTGCTTGTATCTCCAAACTGTTCCTCACATCCAGAAGTGCAAAGGTGGCACCTTGCCCTCTGCCCAGGCTGTGGGGTCCCACCAACACAGGGCCCTTGTTTTATGCATTAACAGTAAAACTGAGACTTCTATTATTACTATTAATTTGAGCCATCATCAATAATACTCAGGAGAAGAACTTTGCTCCAAACCATTTATTCACACATATTCGTATGCCTTTCAAGAAACCACACCAAAATCCCCAGACATGTAGCTACTATTTGAGCATGCATCCCAAAGTATCACACCTGACTATGTTAGCAATATAGTTGGAAAGCTGAGGCTTCTAGGTAATCCCGACTAACCTTAACTTTAATTTGGTTGTATGATAATTTCATTTTTTTCCTAGCAGAGTAGAGTCAGGTTGAAGGGGATGCACAAGGCTTGCAGACTTAAGTCCTTTGTCCACACTAATAATGTGTAAAAAAATAAAACACTAAAWATGCAATGCATTAAGTACTGAAAGCCATCTGAATTCTGCCGGCAATGTGACTAATTTCTGCTCAGCAGCAGTTCTGCACTGCTGATTTAAAGGAGTGCAAGACCTTTCAGCTTCCCCCGCAGAGTCTCATGCAGGAGCAGTGCATCTGCTGGAACACAGCAGGCAGTGTGAGAGTGAAGAACAGTGATGCTGGGACTGCAGAGACGGGCTAACTGGAACGTGACTGACYAATGGACACTGCTGTCATCAGGGTAATGCTGTTCCTAGCAATGTTTGCACTGCAGATCTGGCTGCACCAAGTCTCTGCTTAAGGTCTTTCTTTCACAGATTCTTACACAATTTGCCTCTTAAGGAGCTGCTTCCCTTGTGTTAGGTTCCTATGTTACGAATCCGCTTTCCTCAGAGTCCAGATCCTGCTCAGTCTAGCACAAACATATAATACACCTCTTTTATAAACCCTCGCTAACAGAGTTTATAAGCAGCTCACCCAGCCATATCTGAATCAAGTCTCCGAAAGCATATCAGTACTGCAGAACAGTAATTCCAAACTAATAATGCATATGTTTTGAATTTTTTTTAAGTAAAATTTTTAAGTCGAGGAGAAAAGTAATGAATAGAAAACCAGAAACTCGTACTTAAGAGAGTGAAGCAAAGAATAGATTCCTTTCTAAACTTTCCTTTTTGCTTTTGCAGATACAGATATTATGCACAGCACATTCCCATCTACTTATACTACAGGGCAGCTTGTGAGCTTGAAACAGTCTGTTATACCTAACAAGAGGATATTCTCCAATGCCAATATTTATCTAATGCTTTAGAAAATGAGAATTTACTGTTCTTTCACTAAGCTCCACTGCATACTCTGGAATGATCTAAAACAGCACACTTCAAATTCTATTATTCACTGATCACAGAGTCTGGTGGGCCCTGCTTAATTTGCTGTACGTATTCTGCTTCTTCTTGTGCTTCTGCACAACATGCAGCAGATCCCAACAAACAAACCCACCTTCAAGCTTTTGAAAAGAAGGGAATAGATCTTTTCTTTTTTAGATCTAGAATGGCCTGAGCTAAAAACGTCTTAGGACACTTTTAGAGTAATTTTGAAGTCATTGAGATCCTGCTGCTCCAATACTGTCGCTTAAGGCAGAATTAAAAACAAAAACATTTCCCCCAAATGGCTTTAAAGTTACTTTAACGTAAATAGCTTTATTCAACATACAACATATGCAGCCTATGATAGTAGCTGTGGCGTATATTTTCTTGGAACTTGATTCAGATTATCTCTGTCATTTTTATTCATTCTTTTCCTCATGAACATAAATACACATCTTACATTTATAGATTTCAACAGAAAAACAACATGGTGCCTTTATATGTACCAATTATACCCCCACGGTAACAATTTTGACTTTATTAAAATACACCTGATGAATGCAGATCAGTAGATTTTCCACTTGCTAAATTAAAATTTTAATTCAAAAGGGAAAATCTTTTTATCTTCAGTATTGCCTATGCATTCTTCTTTTACCCTCATCAACAGGCACATTTTTAAGCAACCCTTGGGGGAATAAAGATCACAGATAAAAATGAAGATAATTAAATCCAGCACAAAACATCTCAAAAGTGAGAACCAGCTCTGACTAGCTAAAGAAGTGTTATGATGAAAATCACTGGGCTGTAGCCCTTGAAATGCAGCTCAGGGACTTTGCAGAGCGCAGCGGAGGTGCTGTCTGATATTTGGTAAGATGGAAGGTCTGCTCTCAAAGACCTACTCTAATGACATTTTTGAACCAAAATAACCTTTTCTAGGCACCCAAACAGGGCTGCACTCTCTGTTTGTCTCTGGTGAGATCTTGCCTAACCTTCCAGTTCATAGAATCATAGAAYCTTTAAGGCTGGAAGGGACCTTTAGAGATCATCTAGTCCAACTCCCCTGCACACACAGGGTCACCTAAACCATGTGGCACAGAATGTGCCTGTGTCCAGGCAGGTTTAGAAGATCTCCAGAGAAGGAGAGACTCCACAGCCTCTCTGGGCAGCCAGTTTCAGTGCTCTGTCACTCTCACTGTCAAGAAATGTTTTCTTAAGTTCCTGTGGAACTTTWGATACTTCAGTTTGTGTCCATTTCCTCTTGTTTTATCAGTGGCCACCAGTAAAAAAGGCCGGTCCCCTCCTCCTCACTCCCTCCCTTGAGGTATTTGTATACATTTATCAAATCTCTCCTCAGCCTTCTCTTCTTCAGGCTGAACAGGCCCAGCTCTCTCAGCCTTTCCTCAAAGGGCAGATGTTGCAGGCCTCTGCTTTAAGGGGCCTGTTCAACCAACAACTAGTTATCCCCCACACCAGTGTCACCACACCAGTGACACTCAGGAGACAGCAATTTATTAGGTGAGAGCAAGCACAGGCACAAAAGCAAAGGGAAAAATAATCTGGTTGATACAAGCCCTGCAGGGACTGTCCTGGTATGGGGCAGGTGCTTGGAGTCCCAGCTGTGGTGACTCAGCCAGCTCCCAGCTGTCCCTAGTGAAGCAGTGATTAGTGCCACGGGCATCTTGGGGTTGGAAGAGGCCTTAATCTTTTTTTAGCTCCCAGGATGGGAGGTTGACTTGTGTGTGAGCAGGTCCCTGAAGGGAGAGGGTTGGTGTTTGTGTGATGTGGGTCTTCCTGCATGGTAAGAGGGTTCTCTGTTTCCTGTGGGGTGATAATGTGGGAAGGGTCTTGAGGGTGAAAGGCCTGGGGAAGGCTGAGGGGGCAGCCCTAGCCAGGAGAGGATGACCACCTCTGAGGGCTGGTAAAAGGGTTTGGAAAGCAGCTGGCTGGAAAATTAAAAAAATGATTGGGTTGGTCTTAAATGTAGTGGTTAGAAATTTATTTGTTTTTCTGTGGCAATGATTCTCCTTTCTATCTTGAGGAGAAAGAAGATGAGGAAGCGGTGTTTCTGCTGATAACTCTCTTATCTGAGACACTAGAGTCAAAGCTAAAAATAATAAGCTTCAGTTGCAGTAAATTCATGTTATTTGTCTTTCTATGTTTTGGTAGTTTGTGGCGTCAGATCCTGGCATTAATGATTTTTAAGACTTTCTAAAACACAAGAAGATGGAGATGTTCTATTCTTAGCATTGTATGGCCTCTTAGAGTACAATGTTATAGAAGCAGATGATAGATTGCTATGGTCTTCAGAGACTATCTACTACAGCAGAGTTAAAACTGATTCCTTTCAGACTTTATCAGTAATAGAGACAAAATAGATAGAATGCATTAAGATCAAATCATATCAAATCATATTGGATTTATATGTAGGGGTTAAGATCTTRTAATATGATTCCTAGGGATATTGCATTTCTCTCTCTGGGAGGACTGAAAAATACATACATATGTAAGTATCTGAGCTATAGCCTCTGGTAAGAAAATCTTCTTGTGCTTGAGTCTTATGCTTTTGACATGGAAGCCATCTGGGGATACTTACACCTGTGAACTTTGTGATGGCATATGAGCCAGAAGACTCTCTCTGACTTTAACAGTAGCAATCAGGTTGGAAGGCCTCCATGCCTCTCTCAAGAGACAGAGTTCTACTTAAAGCAAGCAACCCATTTCTTGGCTCCTCTTCATTTCAAATATTGTCATTTACAGTATATACATGCTTTATTGAAATGTTTCACTTTGCACTAGAGTGAACAGGAAGTTACCTTTTCCATTTCTTCCCTTACAGCTTTGGTATCCTCATTTATTCAAATGAATGCTGCCGCTCACAGCTGACAAGTCTGGTGACCTGTAAAGTGAAGCTGACATGGGTTTCCCAAGAGCAAAGCAGAGGCATAATCTGATGAACCTTTTGTTAGTGTGTGTGTTTTCTTCTCTCCTTCAGGGCAACTGAGGAGTTGAGGACTAGAGGGGACTCATTACCTGTAATGGGCTGATTTAATGCTTGATGTCTCTGGAAAATAGCCTTGCTGTTCTAACGGTGGGTAGGTCTCAAACCACACTGAGGTCAGAAGTTGGAGGTGGAATGTCATGTTCAGTCTGGGCCTGGGGAGCTTTAGTGAGGGATGGCTTTCAGCTCACAGCTTTTCTGACACCACTGAGCTGAGTGCTGACCCATAGGGGACCAGCAAAATAATGTGAGGTTTTTGGGCGGGATTGTTTCTTTTCTTTATGCAGCTCAGTGTTGTGATATGTGGATTTTTGCACTGGTAGCCCTCTGGACCTGAAGAAGATTAATGTTGTACCAGTCATCATATGCCTAGCTTATGTTTGTCCACTTCCCTCGTGTAAATGTTCAGCATGGCAGCAGTAGAGGTTGTGGCTACTCCTTTCTCTTGTTGGGGTGGGGGTGTGTGTGTGTGTGCATTTTCCCCTTTTTCTCCCYCTGTATTGGGATGAGTGTAGTGATTTACCCTTAACTCTTCCTTGAGGTAGAAAGTAAGGCAGTTTCTCTTGCTATTTGTGTGCTTTGGACTAGAGAGGTCTGTTGCTTTTCCTGAGATTAACAGGTACCCTGAGAGTGTAAGGAACTTCCCAAGTCAACTTCCCATGCAAACTAATGAGGAATATGCTCTTCTCAGCTTTTGGAAGCTAGTCTCTGAGGCAGGTGCAGGATTAAAAAGTGATCTCTCTTGAATATTAAATGAGTGAGAGTCTCAAACAACTTTACTTTGAGACCTGAAATTAATAACATACAGATCATAGTAGGAATCTGTATACTTTATACGAAGACTTTTCTTGAAGTCTGAAAGAACTTTAGCATTTTTATGTTGCTCTTGAATTATGAGGAAATATCTCTTTCAGGGGAGTGATCTGTGTTTGTTTACAGCTGTGCCATTACTGCAGCTGAAAGAGCTGAGGAGGTTCCCCCCCCCACTGCAGTTCTGGGAAATTAAGGGCATATGACAGGACAGCTCCAGCTGTTTGGCTCTGCAGTTTGAGTGGAAAGGTAAAATTAATATGAATGAAGTCCTCCAAACTGAAAGCTAGTGGAGATATGAAAATCATACCAGTATCTTTGGCAGTAAGGACCCTCAAGTTATGTTGCACTTTTCCCATACATTGCTGTTCAGGCTCTTCATCTCTCAAAGAGGAAGGCCAATAAAGAGCAAGGAATATAAAGACCTGGAAAGTTGCTATGTTTGATGTGTCATAAAGCCGGATGGGTAAAGTGAAGGATATGCAGTAGAAAGGTAGTGCATTTATTCAAATAACTGGAGAAAGGTCTGTTTCCTTCTAGGAAGCACTTCATTGAACAATGTGATTTCATACTTCATTACTTTTTAACTGTGTACAAAGACTCATTTGCAGGATAAAGCCTTCTGTTAGTCTAAGCAGAAAGGGGTTTTTTTCTTAATATTCTTGTTACAGTTAAAAGCTACCATGGATGGCAGCCCAAGCATCTGACTCAGATTACGTAGTGCAGCTAGCAAAATGGCAAGTAATTAACTTAAAATAAAACAGTCTAGTAAAGATAACTTCTCACTCACAGAGCCATTAAATAAGTACAGATGATGAGCAACTCCATGGTGAACAGTAGGATTCCTATGGGATGCAAGGATTCTTCAGTCTTCACACCCGGTACACACGGGGGTTTTTTGTTTGTTTATGTTGTTTGCTTGTTTTGTTAGTCAGTTTTTTTTCTCTCTAACTATTTTTTTATACCTTAAGAGGACAACCTAATTTATTTCCTTCCAGAAGTTATTTCTGTTGGAGGGTATCTAAAAGGGCAATGTGCCCTCATTCAGACTGAGACCACAAGCCATAAACAAGTATGTTAAGTARTAAAAGTGCAAGTAAAACAAGGTTTTGTCATTCATGCTTGTTTTCTTCATTTAGAATTAATAGAGATCATGGTCTGAATTAATATGAGGTGATAACACATGTAGATATCATATCCCCTTAGAATACCATACAGATTAACCTTGCAGAGGATGAGGGCTTCCTGAGATACTGTTCTTGTCGCAGAGCTTTTAACATGAAGTTGCATAAAGTAAATTTGGTACATAGCACTGCATCTAGAAATTCTTCTAAATCTAAATTCCTTCTTGAAATGAAGCACATTTAAAATTGTGTATTTGTTTGAGGAGGGAACTTGAGTCTTCACATGCATTTCATCTCCATGTAAGGAAGAACTCCTCTACTGTGAGGGTGACAGAGTCCTAGCACAGACTGCCCAGGGGGACTGTGGAGTCTCCTCCTCTGGAGATCTTCTAGAGGAGATCTGTGGGGACTTGCCTGGATGTGATGAGGTGYCCCGTGCTCTGGGTGTCCTTGCTGGAGAGGGAGATTGGCCTAGATGATCTCTAGGGGTCCCTTCCAACCGCAACTGTTCTGTGAATCTGTGATGTTTATACTGAAGATTGTTTGGTCACTTAAATGCAGTTTGTATTTATTTATTAAAAGAGCRTAGAGATTGTTAAAATGAGCTATGTAAATAAAAGAGCACTAAATTAAGCCAAATTTGTATTAACCTTTGTCTTTAATAACTCTTCAAGCGTCTAGTTAGAGACTTATTCTTTTATACAGGGAAAAAAAAAAAACGCAAGTACTCTGTTTATAGGTCTCAAACCCCTGGACTGATGTATGTTGTGGTAAGGCTAAAAGTATATCTCATGAAGATGGAGATCATAATTACTGTTGCTTCCATCCTGTGGTATGTCCAGCTTCAGGAGGAAGAAAATAAGGCCCTCTAAGATTAATTATTTAAGAGAAGAGCTTTGCATTCTACAGGTTTCAGAGAAAATGCTAAGAGTTATATGTGTGTAGTAGGGATGAGGCAAATGGAATCATTAACACTCGGAATCATTTTTTTCCTATTAAAGATAGGATAAGGCAGTAGGTTGAAATGGAAAGGCTGAGGAGTTAAAGCATGATCAGAAGAAGGATTGCAATTGGGTTATTTGGATTTTTTTTTTGTCTTCCCATTATACTGATGTAACACTTCTGCAGTATAAAAGCCATACCACATTCTGTGACCAAGTTATCAAATGCATGCTCCTGAGTGGTGGTGTTTTAACTTCCTTGGATGGAAGAAAGAGTTGTTGATCTCTTCTCACAGGTTGACTTGTTTAAGAAACCAAACAGAAAGGTGGTGTTCCTGATGGCTCTTCAGAGTCAGAGGTGCATGTGTCCTGGGCCCTTGGGCCAGGATACATGACCAGCAACCTAGTTCAGACTCTGCTTTCACTGACGTGCTGCACAGATGTCAGTTTAAGGACACCTTGGAGATGGGGGGGAGTGTGGGTTTGAGGCTCTGTTCCTTGACTCTTACTGAAAGTGTGCACAGCACAATATAATGTTGGCTAGTTGGGGGAAAGCAAGGAGTCATCTTGGGAACGCTCTCAGAAGTGCAAGCACCTGCATGTTGCCTCTTCTGTGCTGGGGAAAGGGTGCTGGGGACAAGTGCCCACCTGCTCCCAGAGCAYGTATATTGCTCCTCTGGGGAGAAGAATTGGGTGCAAGGAAACACCCTTCCTMAGAACTACAAAAGAAGGTTGATGCGATTACCAAAATGAGCATTTTACCAGATTGTTATACGGGCACATATACTAAATTTTCCTCCTTGCTTTTTTTACCTCAACCAAGTTTGGGAGCCACTAGTGAAATTCAGTCCCTAAYAGATACTACATTGATATGTGTGTACAAATGCTGATTATTGAATAATTCCTTGCACATCACCACTCATGGAAACAAGAACAGMCTTTTATTGGCACTAAACAGTAACTTACAGATAATGTTTAATGCAGGRCAAGTTGCTATGTGGCATTCTAAATACTAACCTGAAGGCAAAACGTAAATGTTTGCAATCTTCAGTCAGGAAACTTCAATGGGGATGTGGGACTAGATAATTGACCAATTTAGTCAGTGACTTTGGTGTGAATGTTTGTTTGGTGCTCGTTTCCCTGAAGCTAAATGAGATAATTGCCCAATTGTAAATCTTTGTTTTTCTTACTGTAAGATAAGGGCACATTTGTTTCCAGCTAAGATGATTATTACTTAATTACCAACATTATGTCTGTAATATCCACCAGATAAACATTCCTTTATAAGCCTTGCAGAGCAGCTGGAGCTGCCAAAAGGCTGCTAAGTGGTCCTCGCACAGGCCTAGAGAGCTCTGGACAGGATTTGGCTCCTTCCTGCCTTGCCCCTCTACTGCTGAGAGTGGTGGGATGTGACCACAGGGGTCTGCAAGTGAGACCAGTGGTGAGGGGATGGAGCTYAATGGAGCTGCTGCCACAGCAGGTTTGGGAGCCAGATGGATTATTTGGGGGTAGTTCTGTGAAACCATCTCTGGCACAACTCTGTTGGGAACTGTTGTCTTGGAGTATATCAAATAACTGAAATAATGGCTGACCGTTGTCCTTCATACTGTTTCCTGAGGCACTTGCAGAAGTTCAGTCCTGCAGATTCTGTTTCAGCTCTATTAAGAATTAGGTAATATCAATATCACAGGATGGTTGAGATTGGAAGGGACCTCTAGCGATCATCGAGTCCAACCCCCTGCTCCAGCAGGGACACCCAGAGCAYGGGGCACAGGGCGGCATCCAGGCGGGTTTGGAAGAYCTCCAGAGAAGGAGACTCCACARCCTCCCTGGGCAGCCTGTGCCAGGGCTCTGGCACCCTCCCAGGAAAGTTCTTCCTGTTTCCTCTGCCAGTTTGGGAAGGGGAATAAGAAAGTTTTGGAATACTTTGATTTAAATCATCTATTTAGGAAAAGAATTAGACGTATCTATGGCCTGGAAAGAGATGTGACTGCTAATCTTAAACTTGGAGGAAAAAARACAACCTGTGCTTATAAGCATCTGTCTGTATAAGCTACTTGGGCAAAATATATCTTACAACATCACTCTTYGTATTTCAGCTGTTAACTGCATTAATAAAAATGCTATTTTTTAATCTATGCGAAAACAGGCTTGGTATAATCTTAATTTATCACTTGTGTTTTTACAATTCGGTTAAAAATTAAATACAATGACTGCAGACAAAGCTGACAGGTGTCAGCTGCAGTGTATATGCTAATGTATTTTCAAATAGCTTTGAAAGGCATGATTATGCCTTCCTCTTTTGGTTTATTTTGAATCATAGAGACCTAAACCCAATAGTGGCATGAAGAGATTTTGTCGGTGTATCTGTTTGCTTTCATCCTTTAAGAAAGGTAACTTAGTACAATATTGTTATAGAAAACTATTTGCAAAGCAGTTATTTTAACACAAACTTTTCRGTAGTTCCCAATAGAAGCAGTGCTTTGGGCAAAGAAATGAAAGAAGTACTAATTTTGTCTGCTTGATAGTAGTATACAAGGCACTAGAGATATCATAAATCAGTCAGCTACAACCTTAACAAAYATGCAGAATTTCTAATTAAAAGTTATTTCTTTTTAAATGTTGATTATCTCAGAACATGCAAGTTAGAGGTCAAGTAAAAGCTAGGAAATGTATTCATATACATGAGYTTGTACCTGGGAAAACAAGTCTGAAAGAAATGTAGATAAAGGAGAGGCTTTATGGTAATTACCTTTTTGGAAAATATTTAGCTCCTATTTTTCTAAATAATGTTAGAAGTACTGTGGTTCATTTAAAAAGTAGTTTCTGCAATAACAAGAATGCACGTAGCTATCAGGTTTTTTTGTTTGTGTGTGTGTTTTTTCAAACATTCAATGTCGAGGTTAACTGGCTAGCAGTGGAGGTCAGGAGGATCTGTCACTCTCTGCACGTTGTATGGAGTCTTGCTCATTACCCTAAGGCAATTTTTTGTAGTAGTAAAAAGGTGTATTAGCAAAACTGCAACCAGCTGGTCAAGGGAAGTGAATAGTCTTTTCTTTGGGAGACTGSACTGGGAGCACTGTGTTCAGTTTTAGAAGCCTAGCTCAGTGCCTTGGTTGGGTGGTAGATGCTCCACTGGGGGAACTCAACTGGGCTCCCAGGCAAAGCCGCTTCCCCCGCCTGCCCAGCAAGCAAGCAGGYGTCTGAGGGAAGGGGAAAGCTGCAGGTGTCTGCAGCAGACAGATGCACTGGTACATCTTGTTTGAGGCTCCTGTTTCACAACCAAGTGAAGTGATTTGATATTTTACTTCCAGCGGGTCAAGGGAGGTGATTCTGCCCCTCTACTCAGCTCTGGTGAGGCCGCACCTGGAGTACTGKGTGCAGTTCTGGGCTCCYCAGTACAAGAGGGAYGTGGAGCTTCTSRAGAGGGTCCAGAGAAGRGCAACCMGGATGATKAAGGGAATGGAACATCTCTCGTAYGAAGAGAGGCTGAGTGAGCTGGGCCTGTTTTCTCTGGAGAAGAGAAGGTTGAGAGGGGATCTGATTAATGTGTATAAGTTCAGGAAGGGAGAATGCAGGGAGGAAGGGGACA